ATCTTGACCCCATGCCTGTCTTTTGGACTGTTGAATTGCCTGCTCCTTGCCTGTTACTGTTTCACTCCTCTCATCACGGCTCTGACCTACTCTTCTGGATAAATTACTATGTCTCTTGGATTACACTCTTGGAATCAATATTGGACCTCTGCCTCTTCGGTACAGACTCTCTGCTCTACTCCTGGATATTGCCTCTGGATCTCCCCAAACTACCTCTCTGCGACAATCCTGCTAGCTACGGTGAAATCACCCTGTCCAACTCTATCAGGTGGAACTCATCTCATCTGAATAAGAAGGTTAGTGGATGCTCTTCTGTTCTCAAGTCTTGCCACAGAACCCTTCAGTCCACTAACTTCTCATATCTCTGCAGATTGGGCTTGCTCCAGGACTTCCACCTCCACCAGCAGTGTTTATTTAATAAAATCTTTAAACCATTCCTGTTGCCAGGTGTCTTGTTCAAATCCAAATACACAAATCTTAACAGACATAAGACAAAATGCTCAGTCTGTTGGCAAAAACACTGAAGACTTCATTATTTGAGAATGTACATGCCTTCCCCATGTCACCAAAAACATTTACTGGTTACCGTTATTGTTCACCTGCTTAGATTCTTCTTTTCTGTCCATGCAGGATGCTTGGTTTGAAACAAAATCCTTTCAGTGTGCATACATGGAGAGCTGGAAAAACTCCTGCTAATCTTTGTGTTTGTTTGCATGTCCAGTTTGAGCTTGTAGGATTGAGTCTGTATTTCTGACTGCTTGCCTCATGTCTGAGTGTCACAGCAGATATGTGTCCACCATGACTCATGCAAGAAGACAGCGAGTTAGACCCTTCTCACCCCCTTTCTTCTTGCTCAGTTGAATCTCCCTCCCAGACCTGTCAAACATCTGTTGATTCATCCTCGATGTGACATGCCACCCACAGTGAAGAAGAGACATCAAGTTTGTTCCCATCTTTTTACCAAAGTATCACCCATTACCACACTGTGACCTCTGCCCTCACAAGTTAAAAACACCGCCTTGCAGAAGAAAAGTAGATGTATGGTTTTATCAAAGCATCGTATGGCCATTGTTGTTCAACCATTTTATGTTTCAGTAGAAGATAAATATGTTTTTTGTGGTACTGCCTTTTCTCATTTTCATTAGTTACAATATATGCAAATCCTAATTGGTATTGAGCCGTATTGAAATGCTGTTAATATAAAATGTAATCTTTTTTTCTGCACATAAACTCTAATTAAAGTTAATAAATTCTACAGCATGAAAAAATTATGAATTCAGACCACATTAGCTAAAAACATAATAGCACATTAGCTGTGTGCCCTTATTGTTGGCTCTGTTTTCTGGCATGTAATTAACTGTAGCGTCTGTGGCTTGAAATCATCTGACACTGTGTTCACCTTGGGCAGTATTTTGGTACTGATGCTGCCTGACACTTGCAAGTGACTATACTGTGCCTACTGTACAGCTAAATAGTATGCAGATAACATGATTTTACTGCAGTAAATGCAAGTCTGTATTTTTCCAAGTCACAAAAAACAATTAAACTCATTCTTAACTGATAGAGTGAGTAAAGAGTAATAGATGACTCACAGAGGAAATTGAATACATGCACATTTGGTTTAGTAAATTTAATTGTTCATCTTAATTCTCCAAATCTGAGGTCATGGTCCTCAGTCGGAAAAGGGTGGACTGTCTTCTTTGGGTTTGGGTGCTGGATTAATTGGAGTTCAGGTATCTTGGGGCTTTGTTCAAGAGTGCTGGACGAATGGAGTGTGAGACTGACAAACAGGTCTGTTTAGCTTCCGCAATAATGTGGACTCTGTGCTGGTCCATTGTGGTGAAGAGGGGTTTGCAAGGCAAAGCTCTCCATTTACCCATCTGTGCACATTCCTATGCTCACCTATGGTCACAAACTCAGAGTAGTGACCAATAAAAAAAAAAAGTGGATAAAAAAAATTGTTTTCTCCGCATAGTAACTAGACACTCTCCCTTAGGGTGAGTAGTTCAGTTATGGGAGAGACTCTGAGTATAGAGCCACTGCTCCTGCATATCAAGAGAAACTAGTTGAGCTGATCTAGATATCTAATAAGGATGGCCCCTATATGCTTCTCTAGGGAGGCGTTTTGAACTTATCCAACTTTGATGAGACCCCATAAAAGACTCTGGACACACTGGAGAGACTATACCTCTCAGCTGGCCTGGAAGGCCTCAGACTTCTCTCAGAAGCTGGAAGAGGTGACTGTGGAATAAGATGTATGGGCTTCCCTGTTCAAGCTGCTGCTCACATAACCCCAATCCAGAATAATTGACAGATAAAATATGTTCAGTCTTTCTGACTGGAAATGGTAGTTTTAATGAAGCTGCTTTCTTATTGTTTGCTACAAGCCCATGACGACAGCAAAAATCTCACAAAAAGGAATGAGATGCAAGCCCCATGCTGACTGTAGCAACATTTTCACATGTGGATCATGGCTGCGGTCGATGGATGCTGCAAATTTTATATCGCCTGCACAAAAACGCTAAAACACATATAGATAAACAGACTCCATTCTTTGACTTACTTGTCACATTACTTCCATGTAATTCAGTTTTGTGCCCCAGATTTTATGATTCTTAAGAGAGAATATAATGTTACTACTCTGTGGAAGCACAAGTGTAAAAAGTATCATTCTAAATGCAGGCTAAAGCTGTTTACCTGATGCTTTATACGTTTGTTCATTGACCGGTTTAGAATAGCTTTATGAATGCTGTAGTGTTTCGTTTTAAAGAAGCAGAGACAGCATTTGCATAAGCAAAATTGGCACCATTAATTTATAGTCAAATGTGGTGGCAGCACTGGAGAAATTGAATAAGAAAAATATAAATTCTGCAAAAGCTGAAGACCACCTCTTTTTTCTATTCAGACTTATTTTGTATTTTTTAAGTGTAAAAATGTAAATCTGGTCCTCTGGACATTCAAAAAGCAAAACAAACAAAAAAAATGTAGAAACGTTTCCTCTTTCATCCGAAAGACTTCCTCAGTCTGAGGTGCTGTATTCAGCTCAGTCTTATTAATAGCACCTTCTCAGAGTGGATCAACCAGTTTTGCTGCTGACAACCAAACCAGCTGCTCACATGATCAAGAAGGACTATCAGCCTAACAATGGATCATTAGCACACTGATGGCTGTTTACTATTCATAGGAGGCTGAGCGATACTAGCAATAACAGCATTATAAGAGGGGGGCAGTTGAACCCGGAGTCCTCCACCCCTGTTTAATGATGGACGATTTCTTTTCACAAAGATGGCCTCCTTTACTCTTCTCACAAACCATTGTTCCTCTCTATCCAGGTTGTGAACATCTTCATCCCTGAAAGTGTGACCGTAGGCCTGGAGATGAGTGTAGACCGCAGAGTCCTGGTCTGATGTTGTTGCTCTTCTGTGCTGGGCCATCCTTTTGGCCAGTGGCTGTTTAGTTTCCCTGATGTAAGACTGATCACAGCCCTCTTGACACTGAACAGCATACACAATATTACTCTGTTTGTGCCGGGGGACTGGATCTTTGGGAAGAACCAGTCTTTGCTGTAATGTATTTTGGGGTTTAAAAGCCACTGGGACGTTGTGTTTAGAAAATAAACGTCTCATTTTCTCTGATACTCCCTCAACATACGGAATGACCACTGGTCTGGGTCTGGGTTCCTCTTTTTCACCTGATGGCTGACTGGAGTCCTGTTTGGGTTTCTTCTCTGCTTTCAGGAAGGCCCAGTTAGGATATCCACATTGCTCTAGAGCCTGTCTTATGTGGGATTTCTCCTTATGCCTGGCTCCCGAGTTAGTGGGGGCGCTGTCTGCTCTGTGGTACAGAGTCCTGATGATTCCTAACTTGTACTCCAAAGGGTGATGGGAGTCAAACTGCAAATACTGGTCTGTGTGGGTGGGTTTGCGGTACACCTCAGTTTGCAAATGTCCTCTGTCTGAGACTGAGACCTCACAGTCCAAGAAAGCCAACCTGCCATTTTTTACATCTTCTCGTGTGAACTTGATATATTTATCCACAGAGTTGATGTGGTCAGTAAAATGTTGGACTTCCTGGGATTTAATTTTAACCCAGGTGTCATCAACATACCTGAACCAATGACTTGGTGGTGTCCCTGAAATGGACGTCAAGGCTCTCTTTTCTACCTCCTCCATGTACAGGTTGGCAACAATAGGAGAAACTGGAGACCCCATAGCACACCCATGTTTCTGCCTATAATATTGCTCCCCATATGTGAAGTAGGTTGACTGCAGGCACAGTTTCTCAAGAGTTGACACAGTTGTTCTGTGGAAAATGTGGTCCTGCTGCTCAGAGTGGTGTTTGATTTTAATCTTAAACTGACCACCTCTACTGCATCATCAACAGGAATGCACGTAAAGAGTGATGTTACATCAAAAGAGACCATTGTTTCATCAGTCTCCATGGTGACATCCCTCACCTTATCCACAAAGTCCATGGTGTTCTGTATGTGATGTTCTGAGCTGCCAACTAAAGGGATGAGTACAGATGCCAGATACTTGGAAACATTGTAAGTGGCAGAGTTAATCATGCTAACAATTGGTCTTAAAGGTACACCTTGTTTGTGGATTTTAGGTAAACCATACAGACTAGGTGTGGCCTCCCCTGGGTACAGTCTGTGGTACAGAAAACGGTCAATAGCTTTGTCCTGTTCCAAAATTTTCAGGCAATCTATCAACTTCTTCTTGTAACCACTTCCTGGATCTCTTTTCAGAGGTTCATAAGTGTTTAAGTCACTAAGGAGTGTCATAACTTTCTCATGATAGTCTTTCTGGGTCAAAATCACTGTGCACCTTCCTTTGTCTGCTGGGAGAATGATGATGTTTTTGTCCTTGCTAAGAGTGGTGATTGCATCCCTCTCCTCTCTACTGATGTTGGAAGGTGGTGGTTTGGCATTGCTGAGGCAGGCTGAAACTTTGATTCTGAGTTGTTCTGCTTCACCCTCTTTAATTATGTTGTTGCAGATGGTTGATTCTGTGGCTTTGATCATCTCCACCAGAGGAATTCTACTTGGTGCAACCACAAAGTTCAGTCCCCTGGCAAGAATCTCTGTCTCCGGCTGGGTGAGCTGTCTGTCAGATAAATTCTTCACCCAGTTTTCTGTCTCCCTGGCATGTAATTGTCTACTGGAGTGTTGTTTTACACTAAATGTGTTGTTATTGGAATTGTAGTGGTGTTTATGAGTTATTAGTAAATCGTCCATCATTAAACAGGGGTGGAGGACTCCGGGTTCAACTGTCTCCCTCTTACAATGCTGTTATTGCTAGTATCACTCAGCCTCCTGTGAATAGTAAACAGCCATCAGTGTGCTAATGATCCATTGTTAGGCTGATAGTCCTTCTTGAGCATGTGAGCAACTGGTTTGGCTGTCAGCAGCAAAACTGGTTGATCCACTCTGAGAAGGTGCTATTAATAAGACTGAGCTGAATACAGCACCTCAGACTGAGGAAGTCTTTTGGATGAAAGACAAAACGTTTCTACATTTTTTTTGTGTGTTTTGCTTTGTTTTGTTTTTTGAATGTCCAGAGGACCAGATTTACCTTTTTAGATTTTTCTACCTGGATTATTGAGCATGCATCAGGATATTTTTTAAGTGGTTTTGATCAATAGTTCACCAAGTTTTCTGAATCTTATAATGCTGTTTAGCTGCGTTTTTATTCATTTTCTGTTTAGTTTTTGTGTTTGACCATGACAGCATGTTGTTCACTGTGTGCTAAAAACTGAGCAAAGTTGCACAAGTAGTGACAAAAGAAATGCCAGGACTGAATACAGCTATCTACAAATGATGACAGATAAAATAATCTGTCATGTTTTGCCTCTTCTCCTGCCTCTGTCTGTTATGTTTCATGTTTTTGTTTTCCCTGCCAAGCATTTCCAGCTCCTGTCACTCAATTACTTCCACTCTGCACCACGCCCCGTTCTGCAATCAGCTCATGCTCGTCACCTGTTCTCAGCCCTTCATAAATTCCCCTCTTTCCCTCAGTCAGCGCCAGATCCTCAAATCTGTTTCAGTAGTAGAAATCCAGCGTATCTTGTCTTGTCTCACCTCTCTCCTTGCCACGAAACCTTGTCTGATCTTGGACCTCTCGCCTCGCCTGCCCCTTTGAATTCTGTCTTCTTATCTGACCTCGGTTTATGACTCTGCGCCTCCTTATTGACCACGACATTGTATCACGAATTGGCTCTGGCTTCTGCTCTCTGCTTCCCTATGCTTGACCCCTCCTTCAACTATCGGACCACTTATACGGATTTCCCCATTATGGATCACAACATCTTGCATCTGCTCCGCTGCAGCAGTCCACTCTCCAGGAGTGACGTCACCAGTTTCAGTGTGACTAAAGCACCTGCTACACCATCAAGACAGAAGGTTAAGGAAAACCTCAGTACCCATCTGCTCTTCCTCTTCCAAGCCAAGTTCACTAACACTTCTGTCTTGACAGATTGGACCCAGCCCAGGCCCCAGACCTCCAACAGAGATTATTTAAAAACAATACGCTCTTTTAAACCACTTTTGTTCTTGGTGTTGTTGTGCTGACCTGAAATGGTCCTTGTCAGAATCGGAAAGTTTAAGAATTATTTTTAAAAAATAATCCAAAAATGATCTTACACAAAAACTGAGAGATGTGTCATCCTTAAGCTGATCATACAGTGTATTGTATGTAAAGTTTCACCTAATCACTTTCTGCGAAGCAATATGTTGGCAGTGAAATACTATTTTGTCTCTCTCAAACTGTTATCTTGTGCATATTTTATCAATTTGGCTAAAGAAAAGGGGAGCAAATTGTGTTTTTGTGACAGTCTATTGGTAATCAAGTATCTAAAACTCCCATTTAAAACAAGTTATTTTCTAAATTATCTATATTGTGTATGGACACAGCTCTGAGTAATCCCTTGAGTTTAGGAGCATTTATGCTTGAATGATTTGTAGGTCAAATTTGAGGCTTAACAATAAAAAAATATATAACAAGGTCAGGTTCTGTATTTAAAAATTGGGAAAAGCTTGCAAACATTTAAAAGATCTTCAGAAAGCCAGGAGAACTATTTATTAAGACCACCTTAAATGATTGGAACTACCGGTAAATCTGTCTGAATATAAAGAAATAACAGATTACAGTACTCAAGATTTTTGCACATCAGAATATCAATGAAATAACTCATCATGAGAAACCATAGCAGCTTTTTTTCAGTCTTTCCTAATTTAAATTTACCAAAGGTAACTATTTATTCTTTTGCATTTTCTACATTTTCTAATTAATCAAAATTGATGTTCGCTGGAATGGTTAAGACTGTAGTTTGATCCTTTTTCACAGTTTTCCTGCCTGCCATGTGGATACATGAAGATACAAAACACTTGAAATGTCTTTTGTTGCTGTTCAAGCATGCAATCCCGAAGCTTTTGGTACATACGAGTTCTCATTAAGTGGGATAAAAATATTGTTTTCCGAAAGAAAATCCATTTTGTTTCTATGGTGATGCTGTCCTTCCAATTTCCTTGACTGCTTTTATGGATGGCTGTATTGAATGTTAGCATGAAAAAAAAAGAGAAACAAGCAAGAAAATTGTCATTTCTCATACTTGGCAATATCAAGGTTGTTGGAAATAGATTTGTTTGAAAGGCTTTAAGTGACCTTTTATTCATATGGCATTATTATTCTCTAAAATGGCTTCTGGGCAACATCTATAATCAGTTAGTTCTTGTGTGTGTATCTCTCTCTTGTTGCTTTTTATCCAATTTGTTGTGACCTACTAAGAAAAGGACATTTAACCCAGGAAAAATCAGCTTGAAACTCAGGGTGGTACGGAAGCGTAGAGCTGTCACATGAGGTAAAATTATTGTTGAACTGCATCTTGTTATAACAAGTAAACCATGTGACAGCTCTAAGTTTCCATAGGATGGACACTGCTGATGTGTAGATTTTATTTACTTGTTTGCTACTTAAAGTTTCATCATAACCTCAATTAAAATCATTTATGTTGTATGTATAAAAATGTGTTGTAAAACTGGCAAGGAGGATTATATTCTGATATAATGGCAGCCCCAATTATTAGGCCTATCACGATAACAAATATTTCTGGGCGATTAATTGTCTCAGAAATTATTGCAATAAACGATAATATTGTTTGAAATTTGACAATAATTAGTCATTATTTTTTAAATTTGACAATAATTAGAAATTATTGTCAAATTTAAGAAGAAATGTTTGTTAATTTGTTTGGAGTGTAGTACCTTTTTTAGACCACCGGATGGCAGTTCGAACTGAAGAATGGATAGTGAGGGAGCGAGCAGCGTGTCTCTTTGGAAAAAAAATGGGAGGGAGGCCCCTTGACTTGACATGGGCCGTCTCTCCTTCCTTTTTTTCAGTTCTCAAAATGGCAGACGCTCATTGTGGTTTGAGTTCTTTAGCATAGCATTTTTCACACAAAGCTTTTAATAAAAAAATCCGTAAACAAGTCCTCAGCTTCTTTTTGCAGAGAAAAACAACTTTTTTTTCTTGGAGCTTCCACAAGACGGAGTTATTTCCCCCAAGGTCAGCCTGTTAGCTTAACTCGTAGCTTAGCTTCTCAGCACAGCTGCTTTTAACGATCCAAAAAAATGTGATTTTGGATGGTTAAATAGATTTTAAAGTGAAAGAGAGGGGTCGGTTAAGAGCACCAGAGTTGAGCCTTTTGTCATCCAGTGTCTTCAGTAGAAAGAGAGAGACACGAAGAAACGATAAAGCCGATAAATGAAAATGAGGTCCGTTATACTTAATATTTGTCGTGACAGGCCTACCAAATATTTTTCATTATCCGTTAAACAGATGCTTGCTGTTGAGTTGACCAAACATATATTTTTAAAATTAAAGATCACCTTTGACGATTTCTGTCTTACTTTACTTTATTGTCCATGTAAAAGACACAGTCTCTAATAAACTTTAAGCAACTGCTCCAAGATGTGACATTTATGCCTTATAAAAGTAAATTCAAAAAGTGTTCAATACAAAAACAACTGGACTTTATTTGTAACAGAAGACGTTTCACTCCTCATCCAAGGAGCTTTCTCAATTCAAAGAGCAGTGAGTGGGGGGATTCAGTTTATAAAGCTGAGTGAGATAAGACACACACACATATGTAGATTGGCAATTCACACTTTAACACTTTAACAGACCTGACTGAAAAATGTTGGATCGCATACCTGGATTATTGAGCATGGACTTTGTTCTTAACAGTAGGGGTTTCTTAAGGTCTTTGTTCCTCTAATTCACAGATGAGGCCCCTCTGTTCACATCAGGTGTGAAAACTGGCTGGGAATCAGTCTTAAAGTTGCATTATACATGTTTTTGAACGTGGAAATCTGAGGCCTCCTCCTCTGTTAAGAGACGGTTTTTCTCTTTTTACATAAATTGCTTCCTTCACCCCCCTCTCAAACCATCTGTATTCTCAGTCCAAAATGTGCACATTTTGGTCCTCAAAAGAGTGTCCCTTATCTGTGGGGTGGAGGTGAACAGCTGAATCTTGTCCAGAGGAGGTGGCTCTCCTGTGGTGAGTCATGCATCTGTGAAGAAGTTGTTTAGTTTCTCCAATGTAGAGGTCTGGACAGTCCTCACTGCACTGGACCACATGCACTACACCACTCTGTTTGTGTATGGGTGTTTTGTCCTTAGGGTGGACCAGCCTCTGTTTGAGAGTCCTGCTGGGTTTGAAATGTACTGGGATGTTGTGTTTGTTGAAAATCCTTCTGAATTTCTCTGATACTCCAGCAACATAAGGGATGACAATGTTTTTACGTCTGTTGTTCTCCTTTTTCTGTTTATTAGGATGTTTTGTAGATTTCCTCGCTGACTTTACAAAAGCCCAGTTAGGATATCCACATGTTTGGAGAGCTTCTTGGATGTGTTTCTGTTCCTTTTCCTTCCCTTCTGTCTTCGTGGGGATGCGTTCGGCCCGATGCTGTAAAGTTCTGATGAAAGAGAGTTTGTGTTCCTGGGGATGGTGAGAGTCAAACAGAAGATACTGGTCTGTATGGGTTGGTTTTCTGTAAACTTCAATGTTGAGGCTGTCCTCTCTTTCCATCTGAATCAAACAGTCCAAAAAAGGCAGTGTGTGTGTGTGTGTCTTATCTCACTCGGCCTTATAACCTGAATTCCTCACTCACTGCTCTTTGAATTGAGAAAGCTCCTTAGATGAGGAGTGAAACGTCTTCCGTTACAAATAAAGTCCAGTTGTTTGTGTATTGAACGCTTTTTGAATTTATCATATCCTGGATGACTGAGAATCTTCACCAGCTTATAAAAGTAACTTTTGTTGTTTTTATCTTACCGTAAATGTAACCTTTAAAATGAAAAGCAGAGATCCAAGCTGTCATCCTTCTTGATTTCTGCTATATCCCCATGATGGATTCAACCTTAAACCACACAAAAGTAATCTCACTGGAGTCATGGCCTTTTGTTATCAAGTCAAAACCAAGTGTCAGAGCTGCTCAGTTTAATCTGTTTTTCCTTTAAAGATCAACAGATTCCTGAATGAATACATTAATTTTGATGAGAAATGGAAGTAATATATTTTAGGCACCGAAATCTTTAAGAACATTTTATTTTTATAGTATATGTTTAATTGTACTATATTTTCAAGACAAAAATAACCATATTGATGTTTTTTTTTTAACTTTCTTCTCGGGTTTCTTTTCGTGTCTTGCTGCAGTTTTGTTATTTGTTCTTACTGAAGTTTCTCACATAATCACTGAGAGCCTTTGTGACAACACAATGCTTTTCCTAGACTTAATGCCTTTGTTAATTTGTTTACCTTGCTCAAATAGACCTCATCACTGGAGACATTTGTCTCTAGGATGTGTTGGGTTGCTCCTGAGCCGAAACTCCTCACAGTCACACCATTTCTTAGAAAGGGCCCTGACAATCAGCCTAATTATAGTTTGGTTGAGACAAAGGAGCTGTCTCATAGAAAGCAGGAACATCAAATCATCTGAGAAGGCATGTAGTCGCATAATGCAACCAACACATTTAGCAGAAATAAACTATTTTAGCATCAAACTAGACTGTTAAGAAAAGCTGTTTAAATATTTAATAATAGAGTAAAAATGTTTTCATAGAAAATCTCTATGTGTTAGAAGGTAAAAATGTTGTATTCACGAGAAGTTGACATCAGTTTGGCATGACTTTTGTAGCTAATCATGTATTAAGCAAAAGCATCACACAAACCAGAAGTAATTGCAGTGTTTTGTTGACATTGCTGAGAATTTATGAAAGTGCCTCAGAATATCTCAACAAAATTAATTGGATATCTGGTCAACGCTTGTCCATAAACTTAACTCCTCCCTTCAGAATAGTGAATTATGTTTATTCAAGTGCCCAATCTATTCACTGAATACATTTGTTTAAAGTAACTTTTCCCAAATTTTATAAGGTATAGGGGTAAAAAACTTTTGTTTTTATAACATTTATTAATTATTTAAAACTAATATGAAATATCTAGTTTTCATCAGATGGGAATCCTGTTAAAAACTCACTCTAAAATGTACAGTGCTCACAATAATTAAATTAATTAATAATAAAAAAAATATTAAGTATAATGTGAGTTCATAAAAATTGTTTACAGTTGATCTTATATTTTAGCTAAGTTTTTTATTATTTTTTATCTTTTTATTTTTTTATTAATTCATCTTGCTTTTGTATAGTAATTTTGTTTGGAATATATTTTGGGGACAAGGGGCAGATTTTATAAGAATTCATTCTTCTTCTGCTGCCTTTCATTTTATTTCTGTGATTGTATATCTTTTTTCTTTTCTTTAAATTGTATTATATTTGTTGTTTGGATGAAATGAAATGAATAAATAAAACATACATACATACATA